TATTCTCACTGGACCAACTTAAATCTATTATTCTTGGGGTAAAAGACAGGAAAAAAAGAGGCAAAGCTCCAACTACACAAATGTATTTCAAGTCTTCCTTTGACTAGATTCTACTAATATTTCATTGACCAAAGCCAAAACCAACGTCAAGGGACAATGAAGTAGATTCCCATGGGGTGGCAAGTAGGAAGTGAACATTTCTAAATAATTTATTATATTAATAATGAAGTTGTAGATATGGTAAAACTTGTCAAGATGGCTCGAGAATGTTTCATTTGAATCAATACTACTTGGATTTGGTGTAGCTGAATGCAGACACCCCTTCTCTCTTTACCCATCTCATCTACGTAGCTACATATTCTGGGAAAGAATTACTTGCAGTTTTATTTGCTGTATGGGGTACACTGTCGATACAAATCTCCAAAGAAAATCTTGGAGGATCCTTCAATATCTGTCCATGTTTATGTATTTTTAAAAGCTTGGCTAACTACATTCTGTATGCATCTTGGTATCTTTTCTTCTGTGATGTTACTGCTTCATTTATTGCTTTTTATATAATGCCACTGACCTAAAAAAGGTTTCTGTAATCAAGGCTTTGAGGAGTAAAGTTGCAGTTGGTAATTGAAATGAAAATGGTATTCAATCTCCCAGGCTCTTCATATTTCAGCATCTTTTATGTCCTGCTAGGAGCCCTGAAATGTACCTCTCATGTGTGTTCCAGGCAGCTGCAATGGGGGGGGGGACACAAACTAGAATAAATAGGCTATAGAGGCTATTTTTGTTTTGGTTAGATTCTGTTGTCTATGTAAAATAGACTCATTTCTCTAGGACCAAGCAGGGTAGAATCCAGTTCCACATCTATGTCAAAGTAAAAAAAAATATTGTTTTTTCTCCCCTTTTCCAAATATGCAACACATATATACACACAAATCTACACTTGCTCATACACATGTGCACATGCAAATTCACATAAATATGCACTGCACCCATAAAGCTGTATAGTCACACCTCATGCACACACACACAGCAGACATCATATATACTTATGGCACTATCCCACCTCCTAGGTAGACCTTTAAAGTCCTTGAAAGAAGATATTATAGATAATTCCTTCCCTTGTTCCAAGAATTTAGTGCTACATAGAGCTACAGTTGGGAGTGCTGCTTTTCTTTTTCTCTGTTGTGGATTTCAAATCTGCCACTGCATGTCATACTAATCTGTGCCAATGTAGTAACACAACTTGAAATTTCTCACACATTCTTTTGCAAAATAATGAGGTTAAAAGTATAGACACAGGGCAAGCAATTTTAAAAGTTACTCTTTTCTAACTTGCCTTTGGATTTTGTTTTCTTCAACTTTCTCCCTCTTTTATGTAGCTCCTACATTTCATACCCTCTGATTTTCACTAAGTATCATTTTATAAACTAGCATCTAGCCTATTTGAAAGTTCTCCATGATGCTGAAGTTTTGTCACAGTAACATCCCCAGGTTGTTAGCATTGTTTTAGGAAATCTCTCTCAAAGTCCATGTCGGCCACAGTTACCGCTAGATTCCATCAAAAGCAAGAATCCTAACAAGACATTCAAGGAAGTAATGCTTAAGTAAAATTGGTCATATTGATTTTCTTTCTATAGTACTCATTTCTTATAAAAAAAGAGCAATAATGTTATTATTAGTCCTGATGACATCTGAGAAAGTTAGGTAAGAACTCAAAATACTTTATAGTCATTTCATTAGGGAAAAAGCCAAGGCTTTCACATACTATGACATTTAGTAAAAATCATTCTGAAAACTCATTGACTGGCCAAGATAACCTCTCCTGTGACATGTCTGTTTATATCTTGCTCATTTTCTAATGAGTACTGTTTTTTTAATGCTATTTGATATATTTATTCTTTCAGGTATTCTGTATAAGAATCCTTAGCACTCTTGATGTGTTTTGATATAACATTTTTATAAAGCTTAATGACTATTGTTTGCTTTTTCCCATTTAAGAATATTTGCCTAATGATGTGAAGATCTTTCTTTTATGGTACCTTTTATAGTTTATAATCGACCTGGAACTTACTATTACTTCAGTGTAGGCCCCAAGTTCTCAGGGGTTACTTTATCTGAAAAATTTATTTCAAACACAAATGTAAAAAGGTTTTTGGAATATAGAAATTATAGTAAAGATACTATTTTTAATCCTTAAATGATACCATTGCATTGTCTCTGGATTCCATTACTTTGATTCCAAACTCATTGAAAGTGTTGTTGTTGTTTTAAAGTGATGAGTGATTTTTCACTGCATAATTTTATATTTTTTCTTAATCTTTGTTTTCAACAATTTTACAGTGATTGGCCTGAGAAGTCTGTTGCACATTAAATTTAATTAGTATTATGACACCCTTGAAACATTTGATATATATCAAACAAAGTTCCTACTATACTGTCCATTGATTTTAGCAAGTGATCTTACAGTATTTTACCCTATTACACAAAGGATTTCTCCTCTCATATGTCCTCAACATTCATCTGTATTTTTCATGTTTTCTTCTGATCTAGCTTTCACTCTTTATTGATCCCTTCTTCTACTGTGTCTCTATGCTGTCAAATTCATTTATTGAATTCTTATTTTTTCAAGTTTGAGAATTGTCTCCTGACTTCCGTGTCCAGTTTTCTGATAAACTTCTTTGCCATTAAAATTCTTACACTTTACATTCAATTTCTTAAGCACATTAAGTACGGATGTTCCATCTATAATATCTGGGCTTCTGATGTGTCTCTATTTGTTGTCTTTTTTATTCCCTTGGTTTTGGGTGATTTGTTCTTAGACTTTTGTAATCCTCGGTAATTTTTTAATGAATGCTAGACCCTGTGTTTGAAAACTGTAGGGATAACTTTGAAGCTCTGAGTAGTTTTAATCTTCCTTCAGAGAGGATTTATTTTTTGCTTCTGATGGGCAGTAGGATAGAAAAGAAAACTGTAATCCAAGCAGGAATTATTTTGATTAAAATTTGGACTTAGGTTTATATAAAAGCTGATTTATTTTGAGTTCATCTTTGCTCCCAGGGTACAAGCCTTGAGCGATCCCACAGAAAACCTAAGATATTCATGAGGCTACTACTCCCAGGTTTTCTTCCTCTTGGCCCTCAAAGGCATCCAGAGGCCCTGTTTTAGATACAGGTGGAATGTGCGCTCCCCATTTTGCATCTCTTCAAGTTTGTGCTGCATTCATAGCTCTCCGATGCTGTCATTGTTTTTAATAATGTTCTTCGTAGGAGGGTCTCTGCATCGTGATGGACAACCTCGGTCATAAATAATTTTAATTTCTGTTTCTTCTCAGTAAAGTGAATCATCTTTTCATTATATGTTTCAGACCATTATTTTTTATGAACTATCCATCAAGTTTCTTATACTTTTTTCTATTGAGTTGTTGATCTATTTTTAGATGTTCTTTGTATATTGATATTAATCCTTTATAATAAAAGGTGCTAATATTTTCTTCAATTTGTAACTTTTTAAAACATTTCCTACATTATTAGTATGCTTATTTCTACATTGATGACACAAATAATTCCCTTTTTTTCCTTATTACTTCTGTGCTTTGAGTTAAATAGCAAGTTTTTCCTTTTCCCAAGTTTATAAGAGTCCATCAATGTATCTTTTTGTGTAAAGGAACCTGATGAACAGGTGGAAACTGATAAATCTTCTGGAATTGGAAGAATGAGGACATAGGTAATATAATGTTGACAGATTCAGCTGGAGGTTTCAAATTTGGTTTTCTTTTCCCAATCTTATCCTCAGGAACTAATGGAAAGAATCCATAGACTCAGTGACTTTCATGTTGTTGGGAGCTAGCTATTTTTTCCCATCTCATGTTTCTTTTTCCTGGGTATCTTACTACATATTAACATCTCCCAAACATACACACATCTACTTCACACTTCCAAACCTCACACTCAGTGCAAAAACCCTTGAACAATCCCTTCTTTAGACCTCAGATCTAAAATAGCTTTCTTCATCTTTTCCCCTTTGTTTCTATTTTGTCGATTTCTGACCTCCATGATGTCTGCGCCCTCAGGTTCAGATTGTGGCTATACCTGAGTCCTACTTCCTGCTTGTCAGCTTCAGGAAATAATTACAAAGAGTGCAAATTTTTACTTTCAAAGTTCTTCTCTCTGAAAAAATTACCAACTGAATCTTTCCCATCCTTTCTTCATCTACATACTCCAAATAATGAAAACAAATTGGTTTTCTAGCATTTTACCTGTATTTGTATTGATTTTTTAAAATGCCCTTGCTCTCCTATTTGGGAAAACATAACTGATGTTTAAGGAATGAAAGATTATTGTCCTTTGTAATATCTGGAAAATTTCACGGTATGACAAAATAGTGCCTCCTTGCTATGTGTAAGCATATTGCAGCTTTTGACTATGGTGAATGGAAGACTCACCTTCTGATGCTATACAGATAGAGGATAGTCACAGTGCAATTACCTCAGACTGAATCACCAGCAATCCAGAAGGTAGCATCTGGGAAGCTCTCCTAGGAAGCCAATTCAGTCATTCATTTGTGATTAAACAACAACAGCCCAAAGCTTCCCTATCTGCAGCAAAGATCTTTCAACTTTCAGACATGCCTACAGCAAATAAAGTTTTCCTTTTTTCTCGTCAAAGGTTAAATTCTGTCTCAGACACATACTCACTTCCTTAAGTTTAAATTGTACATTGTGCTGATTAAACCACATTCTCCTTCTTTTATGCTGCCAGATTTCTAATTTGAGAAACTGTGTATGTATATATGTGATTATCTCACAAATTAAAGAGAAGTTAGAAGACAGCTTTAAAGTATTCAGGCAACTCAACCCACTGTTTCCTCCTTTAACCTTCTCTGCAAAAGAAGCTGAATACCAGAAGTATTTTTAAATGTAAGAGGGCAACAGAGGGTGACAGAACAATGGGCAGGAAGGCTGTTATAATTCTCTAATCAAGGCCAATCGTCTTTCCTTCTTTCAGCTCAAGGGGAGGACACACCTACAGCTTCTGTGAAAAGCCAGAGCTCCAGGGACACCGAAACTGCTACAGGTCCGGATGGTAAGTTTCTGAGCTATGTGAGCTGAAACTATTAATCTGGCACATTTCCCATGTGCAATCCAGGATTAAGGGGGCATTCTAATATATGAATCAGAAGTCATATTCTCAAAGGAAATTACAAAAATAGCTTTTTTTAAACACTAGAATGTTTTAAAACAGCACATGGCTTGAAATTGAACAAACTGTAATATTGAGTCCACAGTGGGTCGTTCTAAGGCTCAATTAGTTACCTGAATATTTGCTTTTAAATGCTGTCTCAAAATTCCAATCAACTTTCTTCATTCCTCCAAATGTGCATTTTCAAATAGCCTATCCTCAGGATTACTAATTCTTTCTTCTGTTTAATCTGTCCTATTGGATGCCTTCTATCATGTCTTTAATTTTGTTGAGTGTATTTCTCAGCTCAATAATTTATCTGATATGTTTAGTTTATTTCATTTCTAAGTTTATCTGTATTATGCAAGCTCACTGGTTTCCTTAAAACAATTTTCAAATTCTGAATTCTCTCATGTCAACTTAAAACAATTTTCAAATTCTGAATTCTTTCATGTCAACTAGTACCTAGTCAGCTTCTGGCATCTTAGAGTATTAGATGATGCCATGATTTCCTGAAAGATTTTGATGCTTTTTGGCATGTCATATCATCTGAGCATTGAAGGATCAAGTATTTATTCCAGTCTTTCCAGAAATTCTAAGCCAGGTTATTTTCTCTTAACCTGTACTCACTTTTAATGTTTCAACAATATATAGTAGCCAGGTACGAATGCGACAGGCATCTGTTATTAGTGTGGTACCTGTTTTGGTATTAGAGAGTAATCCAAACCCAGGTTTATCTTAAATATACTACCGATGTATAGGTCAGAAAGAGTAGAAGGCCTAGAAAGATGAGAACCAAATGCCTCATTCATAGTTACCCCACTGTGATCAAGTTCTAAAGGTCTCTGCTCAGATCTGAACAAACTTACTGTGGATGGATCAGCCCCAAACCTGTGTCACACCTGTGACCACCGATGTTGCCACCAAGGTGTGTGCTACACCCTGACCCTCACTACTATGCGTTGCTTATAGCTGAAGTAGGCTTGTGGGCAAAGGCTGCTGCAGCTAGCCACAGGTGATGCTGGATGGAATAGATGTCCAGTACAATGGAGCGAGCTGTTGTCACTGGCCCTGCAGCTCTTCCAGAGGCTTTATGCTCAGACTGGCCTGGGGGTGGAAGCCCTTAGGACCTGCCCTATCATTGTTAGTTTCACAAGGCCAGCACTAGGATTTAGGGCAAAGTGGTGCTTACCAACCTTTCCTATTCCCCAAAACATGTAGTCTCTCACTCCCTATGCTACCCATGGTCTAGGTAATGTTGATGAAATCAGTCCCTTGGCTACCCAGCTGCTACCAAGTCACACAGTCACAAATACCAACAGTCTTGGAGTATACCACAGCTCACACAGCAGCTGGAAGTGATGCAAGCCAATATATGTCTATTCCACTGGGCTGTGGGTCTTGCCTGGTGCCAGGGAAATTTTAGAGCTATATCTGTGAGCACTGGTCTGGTGATAGCTGTGATGCTTGAGCCTGAGGGACAGGTGGTGAAGACAGTCCCTTGGCTATCAATCCTGACACTAAGCTGGGTCACACCTGCATCTCACATATCTGCATGGCCCTGCACGGTCTTTGGAGGAGGACAGGTGTACTCCAAGCCCTCTCCAGGGATAGAACTTATGCGGGCTAAAACTCAAGTCTGTCTTACAGGCATGCAGGTCAATGATTAACACCAGGGCTGGGCTAGAGGTTCTGTCTGAGCTCTCAACCTCATATAGGGCCTTTCGTTTCTGTCATGTTCTGGGTCTCACTATAGCAGGCTTGCCATTGGGCTCCAAAACAAAGCCCTTCACCCCTTGCCTCCTAGCAGCTGGATTCTTGCCCCCCACTGTGCCAACCTAAGTGCCAACTGGCCTAATGTATTTCCAGCAGCTCAGTCGAGGGGCACTGACCTGTCATAGTGGTCACAGTTGAGAGTCATCTCTCTGATGATGCAGGCAACTCTTTCCTCTGCCTTCTTCAGTGTATCTTTTCATTTTGTTACATAGTAGTACTAAATGTAGGCGCTGTAGAGTCTCATTTGATTTCCTTAGTTCTTATAAAGGTAATTGACCAAGGAATAGCTGTTAAACCTGGTGTATCTTTGGCAAGATGACCACAGAAGGACCTTACTGAATGGACATCTGCTGCAACAGAGTTTTTTTTTTGTTTTTTTTTGTTTTTTTTAATTTTATTGAGTTTATTGGTACATTTTAGGGATACAGTACAGTTACATTCATTGTTGGGATCATGTACCTTTACATGTCAAGTCTTGATTCTCATTTTTTCCCCTTACCTCTGCCCTCCCTTCACCCCCTCCTCCCCTCCCCATCTACAAACACTTTATTTTCATCTTTTCATTCTCTCACATTTTTTTCTTTTCCCTTTTTGTTCTTCCCCTACACCTTTAGCTCTTTTCTTCAAATTTCTAAATGTCAGTAATCTTATTAGAATCTTATGCATTGTTGCAGAATATTCACACCAGGGAAACTATTTGGTATTTACACATGTGTGACTTATTTATTTCACTTAGGAGTATATCTTCAATATGTATCCATTTTCCTATGAATGAATCTATTCTCTCGCTCTTTATGGCTGAGTAATATTCCATTTTATAGAAAAACCACAACTTCTTTATCCAGTTTCCAACGGATGGGCAAATAGGTTGTTTCCAAGATTTAGCTATTACAAACTGTGCCGCTATAAACATGGGTGCACATACTTCTCTGTGATATGATTCTTTTAGTTCTCTTGGAAAGATACCCAACAGAGGGATGGCTGGGTCAAATGGAACCTCCAGTCCAAGCTCTTTGAGGTATCTCCATATTGATTTCCATAGTGGTTGCACTAGTCTGCACTCCCACCAACAATGGAGGAGGGTTCCTTTCTCCCCACAACCCCGCCAACATTTGTTATTGTGTGATTTCTTGATAGCAGCCATTCTTTGTGGGGTGAGGTGGAATCTCAGTGTTGTTTTCATCTGCATCTCTCGAATGACCAGTGATGTGGAACATTTTTTCATATATTTTCTTGCTGCTTTCACTTCTTTGTATGAGAAATGTCTGTTCATTTCGGATGCCCATTTTTGGATCGGGTCTTTATATTTGGGGGGACTGATTGTTTTGAGTTCTTTATATATCCTTGATAATAGTCCTTTGTCTGAGGTACACTGGTAAAAATTTTTTCCCACATTATAGATTGTCTCTTAGTTCTGCTAACGGTTTCTTTTGAAGTAAGAAGCTTTTTAGTAATATGAGATCCCAGTTGTTGATTCTTTCTGCTAGTTCCCGTGCTGCTGAGGATTTGTTCATAAAGTCTTTTCCTATACCAATGTCT